CCAAAGTATGTCAGACGAAGCCCCAGAATCCTTGCCTCCAAGGAGCAGCCTGGTTTAATCCTCCCTACGATGAATCTGTTTGTTTAACTTGGTCACTTACTCATAAAATATACTTAAATATTTTCTTTAATATATCAACTTATCATAGTTTCCAATCCTCCTTTCAAAATATTTGAAAACTTAGGTAGACTAATACAAACTTCTCTTAACCATATGTCAAAAATTACTGTGTGGCAAAAGTTCTTTCTCAAAAAAAAAAGCTTTAAGCCCCAGAATATCAGTAGTACTAAGAAAAAAAGTTATAGTTCTTCATTCTTAGATCACACATACATTAAACATACAATTTTTCAATCTACAAGTAATCTGAATAGATTTGTATACTATGTTCAACACTACAAAAATGATTATATTACAAAATATTTTTTCTAAAATAAATAATGATAAATGGTATCACTTGAATACAATCAGCCAAATCAGACTGCAGAAAAATGTAAGGCAAATGGACCAAATAATAACTATATTATATACTGGATAAAACAAGCCATAAAAATAAAAATCTGAACACTGAGTATTTGATGTTATTAAAGAATTTGTTTTCTTAATGTGAAGTTGCTGTTGAATGCTGTTAAGAAGGAATTGACCCACCGCTGACCCTCCAGTGGGTTTTCAGAGGCACAAGAGGAGTTTACACATCCTTCTCCCACAGAGCAGTGGGTAGATTCAATCCACATGCCTTCAGGATTGCAGCTTCTTAGTAGGCCACCAGAGTACCCTAATGCGATAATACTGTATGGTTATATTCAAAAAGTACTTTCTTTTAGAGATACATGTTGAAATATTTGTAAGCAAAATTGTTAAATATTGATATATGCTTCAAAATAAATTGGAGTGATTGTAATAGAAAAATATGATTGGGAATAATTTGATCACTGTGTAAACTGAGTGACGAGTACAAGGGGAGTGATGACTTATATGTGTGTTTGGGACAAAAATTCCTAGTTACAAAAAATTGTGCAATAATGAAAGAATCTTTTTAAAGAGAAAAAGAGAACTGGGAGGGTTAGGTACAGAGGAAAATGTACAACAATAAAAGAATAGAAATCCAAGTTTTCTGTAAACTTTTGTTAAAATATCAATTAAAAATTTTAATAAAAAAAAAAAGAAACTTTAAGATATATACATTTAGAGAGATTGGTTGAACAGCAATAGCTGTAGTTTGGATTAATTTAAAGCTTCAGGTGGTATACATAGTCCATAGAGTTATGCTGCTAATCCAAAGGCTGTGGTCTCAGGTGATTCAAATCCAGCATTAGCTCCAATAGAGAAAGATAAGTGGTGGTCTGACATTTTCATTTCCAGCACTGGAAACCCAATAGAGAATGGCTTTGGATCAAAATAAGGCAGTGAGTTTGAGAGATTTTTTAAAAAATACATAATTCAAAAGCCATTATTCCATATGACTCATTTTAAAGAGAAATTCCAACCAAAGATTACATGATGTAAAGAAAAAAGTAAGCTCAAACATTTGAGTAAAGATAATTTCTGAAATGTTTACCTTGAGTTCCAGTCTTGTGGTATTTGCTTGGCATCGGTAAGTGGCAAGAAGGAAATTGCCATTTGACTAGAAAGAATTCAAAGTTAAAGAAAAGGATGAATTAATATTTTAATGAAAGTATCATCAATAACAAAAATGGTTACCCCTTACTGAACACTTATCATTTGGGAGGGAACTCTGTTAGCATAGTCTCTAGGAAGCTGTGCTAAACTCCAAGGCCACATCCCTTTTCTGCTCTGAGGGAGAAAGATGCGCAATCTTAACCCCATGCAATTTATAGTCCAAGAAACCCCAGGGTAGGTCACCTATTAGGAGGTCCTGACTCCATGGCAATGAGATTTGGGGTATTTTTTTAATTTTTAATCATTTGGTAAACACTGTGTTATGCTTTTGGAGCACTTCTCATTTAGTCTTACTTACAATTTTTTACAGTTAAGTTTTACTACCAAATTTTAATAAACATAGAGAAACTGATATAATTTTCCTATATCTAGTCAATGGTGAAAATAGAATTTAAATTCAAATCTTTGAGACTTGAACGCTTACAACTCTTTCTACCTTAGTTCTCCACAATAACATTCTTTTTTTTTTAATTAATTTTAGTAAAAGTTTACAGAGACTTTGGATTTCTACTCATTCACTGTGGCAGTTTTCTCCCTGCTAACTCTTCCCCCAATTCACTCTTCTCTTTGAAAAGTAAAAGAAAAATTCTTGCACAATAACATTCTTTTTTTTTTCACAATAACATTCTTAAGATCAAATTCTTTAAATATTTAGCACACAATACAAGGCAAATTCCTAATGTCTATATAATAAATATGTGTATGTAACTATGTTTGATGTTAAATGTCTTTGATTTTCATGAACACTTACAGTGGATTGAGAAATATTTTATCTGTGTCCTCAGCAAATAGTCAATGCCTGGTGCCATCATGCCTAGTAATTAATATATGTTTACTGAATTAAACTGAAGACTATATTTAAAGCATGCTAACTCCTTGAAACTACTGAAAATAGAAAAAATATAGACTTATCAAATATAAACATATACTTTATAAAAATATAGACTTATATAGAATTATAAAGAGGCCAAGCAACACAAAATATTTTACATGCAATTTTTGTATACTGTTACTTTCTTATTTTTAATAGAGAAATATAAAAGATGGTAAAGTAATGAAGAAAAATATGTATTTACACTCAATAAACACCACTGTAAGTCCACTTAAAAATAAATTTACCTTGGGTAGTGTTATAGAATAGCATTTATGAATAACATTATCTAGATTTAAAAATAGAAAATGTCTAGTATTAACTTTAATATAATCTAATTTTGGAGGGTAGGGAGAAAAGTAAAGAGAATAAAAAAGACTGGCCATATGTTGAAGTAATGATGAGTCCATAAAGGTTGGACTCTCTTTTTCTGAATACTTGAAAAGATCTAAGTTTACCAAAAAACAGCCAATAAAAGAGATTTTAAGTTAGTGTAAAATATTCATCTCAAGGAATCTTCCATAGTAATAAGGTATTTTAAACTTTCTTTTAACTTAATTTTTTAAACTGACATAAAAATATACACCTAATCTTATATTTTGTTCTCAAATAGAGAAAAATAAACAACATAAACTATTATAAAATTGTTTATCAAGAAAAAAAATTTCTGGTATGTAGTTATAGTCTCAAATATAATTATTAACTCTTCTAAATTCTATCTCATTCTTTTAAAATATATAAATACCCGTCAACTTCAGTTATTGTTCTTTTGCTCTGGTTTGCATTCTCCAAGTGGCTAATCTAGAATCTATCCTTACTATAACTTTTCTCTATCAGCCACACCCAACTCTGAGTAAGACTGCTAATCTCCTAGTTAAGCATAAAAACCTGAATGTAGTAAGCATGTCAAAAAAACAGGCATGATTCCATCAAGGTGTTTTACATACAGTAAGTGCTCAATAAATATTTGCTGAATGACAGCTAAGTAGATACTATACAATTCCATCCAGAAAAAGTGGGAAGAACCATGGAAAAGAAGGAAGAGGAATAAATCATATTGAAATGCAAAGAAATATGATAATAATGCTGCAATGAACATTAGTATACAACTCTCCATACGTTCTTAAGGTAGAGGGAGGGGGGAACAGAGAAGTAAGGATGGGTGGTAGGAGGGGGAGGTAGTCACTGGATCACACAATTTGATGGAAGGAGGGGTGGGTTAAGGAAACAGGAAAGATCCAGTGTGAAAAACAATGTATAAGAACTTGGTAAGTAAACCAGTATAAAATAAAATAAAATAAAGTAAAATAAAAAGAAAGAAATGTGAAATTAGCATTTTCAAGAAATTTTTTATACTTCAGTTTGGTAGAAATAGAGAAAGGTGGGAGCTGATGAGAGGTAGGAGAAGATAATCTATGCTACAGTAAAGAATAAAAACTAAGACATTCAGCAAGAAACAAAGAATCGTTTACAAGTTCTGAGAGAGTGATATTCATATCTTGAAGACTTTTCTGGTGGCAGAATAGCCTTAAGGTAGGGGGAGAAAGCTGGTATTAAGATTCCTGAAGGCAAGAAGAAACACCTCATTACTGGTGTATCCTCAGACTGAGGGCTTTGTGGTGCTAGTTATTCCTCAGTTGCCAAACATGAAAAGTGAGGTGGCCAACCTTACAGCAGATGGAAAAGAAGTTACAACTTCTGGGATTGGAGATAAAATCAGGGGCATCCTGCATAGGACTCATTCTGACCAATTTCTGGTGACATTTAAGGAAGTGGGGAAAAAGAAAAGCCTTCTACTTTTGGAGATGCATCAGTTATTGCCTTTGTATTGCTGGACTCTGATTATGAATTTGATGACGGGCCTATCATTTTTAATCGATTCAGGTTTGTCATCTCCTAGAAGACTGATAAAAAGCCCATATTTTCCCTTAATATCATTGAAAATGCTGAAAGCATGAGTATCTGTGATGGTATTGATGCTGATGTGCTACAAAAGTGCCAACAATAAAATCTGGCAAACATCATGTACTACTCTCTGAAGGAGTCCACCACTAGTGAACAAAGTGCCAGGATGACAGATATGGACAATGCCAGCAAGAATGCCTCTGAGATGATTGACAAACTGTACCCACCAAGCTGTCATAACAAAGTAGTTGATTGAAATCATCTCTGGTGCTGCAGCTCTGGATTAAAAAAATCAAGTGTCATGTTGCCAGGAGGGACGGGTCCTTGGAGAGGGACATCATGCTTGGGAGGGTGGAGGGACAGCGCAAGAGGGGAAGACCCTCTATGAGATGGATTGATTCGGTGACTGGGGTAATCGGGATGGGTGTGTCAGAGGCGGTGCGGTTGGCGCAGGATAGAGCAGGGTTTAGGGCTGTTGTGCATAGGGTCGCTATGAGTCGGAAACGACTCGATGGCACATAACAACAACATCCTCAGACAAGAGAAAAGTTAAGCCAGCTCATTTCATTATGCTTAATGCTGTCATCATCAGAAACACTGTTGGTCCACTGCCCAAATTACTAAAGACAGCAAGATATTTGTAAATTATCTTACAATAAATAATTTTAAAATTTAAAAAAAAAGGTAGGTAGAGGGTAAAACTGCAGGCAGAGAAAGTAGTAAGTGTAGTTATTCAAGCAAACAGTTTTGACGGCCTGGACTAATTTAACAGAAGCAGGAAAGAAACAGAGTAGAGATGAGAAAGTCATGGAGACAAAGCTGAGAAAACTAGATTTATCGATAATCATGACAGAGGATGATCTAGGATAACACCCAAGTTTTCAAATTATATGAGGATACAGAAAGAAGGCAGAAGCCGACTTTCTTGGAAAAGGAAAAGACTTAAGAATATAACAGACTAGTACCACTTAGACATTTTAATCAAACAGCATAGTAGAAAAGAAACTATCAAAATAATTCATTATATCGTTATTCTACTTACCTCAGCATCACAGCTGCTAAAGCTGACAACAGCAGAATTTTTATCCACATCCAGTAAATCTATTGGAACATCACTCTATAATCAATATTTTAAAAAGAAAATAAAGTTGAAATGAAAATGGATTATCCTTACTTCTATTTTCATGTTCATCTTGAAATCTGAAAGCATAATTTTTGTTATTTTATATTTTATAGTTTAGTGGCATAGTCCATAGGAAGTTGTGCTCTTAACCCCAAGGGCAGCACAGCACCTCTCAGCTTCTTCGAATCCATAAGCAGTTCAATGAGAGAGAAAGATGGGCAATCTACTACCATGGGACTTACATAGCTTCTAAAAACCTACTGGAGGGTCAACAATGAATCAGTTCTGATTCAACTACAATGACTATGTGCTTCAAGAAAAGTAGTATCATAAAGAATGCATTTTATTTTATAAACTGTCCAATAATATCCAATAAGAGATTACAGAATATTATTTCTCAGCACGTACTTAAAAATAAGATTTTCTGATTTTTGTCAGTTGTAGAAGTACTACTATGGGCTATAAATAATTGTGTAGCCATTCTTATTATGTCAGTTAATTTGTATCAGTTTTAACTTCACTATAACATGAAGATTTTTTTTCCTGGAGAGCTGACTGCTAGGACAAGGCTGTCCCACTGTGTTCCATGTGAATGGTACCCTCAGTTGTTCAAATGCAGCAATGCCTAGGCTACTATTAAGAGAGATTTTCACCTTTAAATGTTATTGTTGTTGATTGCAGTTGAGTCCAGCAACTCATAGTGACTCTATGAACAAAAGACCTAATGCCTTTTCATAACTATTGTCGTTTCTCCAAGTTCATGGAGTTTCCATAGGCATATAGTTTAGGAAGTGGATGCCACTTCTGCTTCCAAATCTGTCCTATAACTGGGAGCTCCACCAAACACTGTTCACATTGGTAAACCATCATGGTATTTGAAACCCTAGTGGCATAAAGTTTGGCATCACAGAAAACTCAGATTACCCCAGTACAGCAAACTGACTAGGAGTGATGTACAAAGTAGAAGAATGTTCTTCCAAATTATAACGGCCTCACTTAAGTGCTGTCAAGCAAAATAGGACTCATAGCAACCCTATCTGAACCTTTTCTATCATTAACGTCTTTTCTTTGTTTATAGAATTTATAGAGTTTCCAGAGGCATCTGGTTCAGGAAGTGGATGCCCATTCTGCTTCCAAACCTGAATCAATCTGGAAGCTCCTCAAAACACTGTCTATAATGGTAACCATCATGACATTTGATACAGCTATGGCACATTGATTAATTAATTAGTATAATCTAATTATTCCCCAAATCTTTTTAAAATGTATTTCCTTCCTCTTCTTTGTTCTTTAATCATTTTCTGACAGTTTGCCCATCATTTGCTTTTTCCATTTACCTTTTATAGCCTCAATCTCTTCTAATTTACAGGGGAGAGGAAATAAATGTACTGAAGAAAAGACACATATGCATTTTCATTCCCAAAATTTTACCATTTAGGCTGGACAGAAGATTCCAAAAGGCAGCACGGGATGACAAAGCAAAATATTACAATGAAATGTGCAAGGAGCTAGAGTCGGAAAATCAAAAGGGCTGAACTCGTTAAGCATTTCTTAAGCTCAAGGAAGTGAAGAACAATTCAAACCTGAAGTTGCTACAATCAAGGATGCTTTAGGCAGAATATTAAATGATCCAGGAGGTATCAAAAGAAGATGGAAGGAATATCTGAGTCATTGTATCGAAAGGAAATTGCAGATACAGAAGAATTTAATGAAATAGCATTTGAGCAAGAGCCTATGGTGATGAAGGCAGAAGTTCAAGATGCTTTGAAGGAAACAGCAAAAAATAAGGCCCCAGGAATAGATGGTATACCAACTGACATATTTCAGCTAACATATGCTGCCCTGGATGTGCTCACCAAGTTGTGCCAAGAAATCTGGAGAACCACTTGGCCAACTAACTGGAAGAGATCTATATTTGTTCCCATCCCAAAGAAGTGTGACCCAACTGAGTGTGGAAATTACAGAACAATATCACTGATTTCACATGCAAGCAAGATTCTACTGAAGATTATCCAAAAACGACTGGAAAACAGTATATCAGTAGAGAAGTGCCAAAAGTCCAGGCTGGGTTTAGAAGGGATCGTGGTACTAGGGATACTGTAGTTGATGTTAGATGGATGTTAGCTGAAAGCAGAGAATATCAGAAGAATGTCCATCTGTGTTTCATTGATTATGCAAAGGCATTCACTGCGTGGATCATAACAAGCTGTGGCTGACTCTGAGAAGAATGGGAATCCCAGAGCATTTAATCGTGCTAATGCGAAACCTATACTTGGACCAAGAGGCAGTAGTCAGAACAGAGCAGGGCAACACTCCACGGTTCAAAATTGGGAAGAGTGTACGCCAGGGATGTGTCCTATCTCTATACCTTTTCAACTTGTATGCAGAGCAGATTATCCGAGAGGCTGGGCTCTATGAGGAGAAGCGTGGCATTAGGATTGGTGGACGCATTATGCAGATGACACAACCCTGCTCAATGAAACTGAGGAGGACCTCATGCACTTACTGCAGAGGGTCAAGGACTGCAGCCTTCAGTATGGACTGAGGCTCAATGTCAAGAAGACAAAGATTCTCAGCACTGGACCAATTGGTAGCATCAGGATGGATGGCGAAGAGATTGAGATTGTTCACAGCTTCAGTATGCTCGGCTCCATGGTCAACACTCTTGGCACCAGCAGCCAGGAAATCAAAAAACGTATTGCGATGGGAAAGTCTGCTGTTAGGGACCTCTCCAAAGTACTCAAGAGCCACGGTGTCTCTCTGGAGACTAAGGTGCGCCTGATACAGGCCATGGTTTTTGCAATCATTTCTTATGCATCAGAGAGTTGGACAATGACTAGGGAGGATAGAAGGAGAATTGACGCCTTTGAGCTGTGGTGCTGGAGAAGAGTATTGAATGTTCCATGGATTGCCAAGAAAACAAACAGGTTCATCCTAGAGAGGGTTAAACCAGGCCACTCCTTGGAGGCAAGGATTCTGGGGCTTCGTCTGACATACTTTGGACAAGGAGAGACAGGTCTTTAGAGAGGGACATCAGGCTGGGTAGAGTAGAGGGACAGCGCACGAGGGGAAGACCCTCTATGAGGTGGACTGATTCAGTGACTGGGGTAATCGGGATGGTTGTGTCAGAGGCAATGCGATTGGCACAGTATAGAGCAGGGTTTAGAGCTGTTGTACATAGGGTCGCTATGAGTAGCAAACGACTCGACGGCACATAACAACAACAACAACACTGACTCACTTAGAAATTGGTAGGTTAATGAACAAGTTATAATATAAGCTTCTATTTTATAATCTGAGCTTAAAAATAAAGCTCTAGTAAGGGCATTCAACATTAGAGTTGTCTCAATCATAATTCCATTTAAGACTCTCCCTCAAGGTAGACAAGAAAATCTTTACTGGCTGCGTCTTTCTCTCTCTCTCTTTAAACTCAATCTAGTTTCAGGATTTGGTTTTCTTTTTTCCTTATTTAATAAGTATATCTTAAATTATAAGATATAAATTAAATCATTTACAAGCAAACGGTTATTTTAGGAAAATAAACTGCAACATTTAAAATTATCATCTAAAATAATTAGTGCATATGATAAGTTTTTAAAATAGATCCAGTCATAAAATATATATTAAAATCAATTATTAATAAGCCTTTAACTTAAAAATTATACTTTTGCTTACCTGTATTAAGACATTATCTATTGCTATCTGGACCTCTAAAAGGAGGCTGTAGCTAGCATCATCTTTATTTAATATAAATTTGTCATTTACACTAAATGAAGGTACTGCTGATTTTGCTTTGCTTGATTGAGAAGACTGTTGATACTTCTCTCTTTCCTGCAGAACTTTATACTGTAGCTGTTCCAACTCACTCCTAGAGAAAACAAACATGGAACTCTGTCACTTATAATATAGGCATTTGAGGTCATCAAAATGTTCAAAGACTTTAGTCATTTACTTTTGAAAAAACAAGTTTTCAGTTTTTAGCTGTAACTGTAATATGTAGTTACTGTAAGTCAAAATAAACTCAATGACACTAAACAACAAACTTCTATAGCCTTCAACTATTACTACAAAAAAAAAAAAGATGAACACTTCCTACTACTTCTTATTCCACAAAAGTTGTTATATGTTGCCAAGTCAACTAAGAGTTAGTTTTGAAGCTCCGTCTCACATACTTTGGGCATGTGGCCAGGAGGGATCAATCCTTGGAGAAGAACATCATGCTTTTAAGGGTGGAGGGACAGCACAGGAGAGGAAGACCCGGGATGAGATGGATTGATACAGTAACTGGGGAAATGTGGTAGGTGTGTCAGAGTCAGTGAGACTGGTTCAGGGGGTAGGCGTATCAAAGTTAGTGAGACAGGCTCAGGACAGGGCAGGGTTCAGAGCTGTTGTACATATGGTTGTTATGAGTTGCAGGTGACTTGACAGCACATAATAATACCAACATGGCTAAACAAATGAAAAAAGATATAATGTTTGACCAATGAAAAGTCAGAAGAAAGCCTCCAGAAAGGCTATTCCCAAAATATCAACACCTAATGCTAATTTTCTTAAATGAATAACATCTTCATTTCTCATCTAAGAAGATACACTGCAAATAAAAGAAATATATAATCATATATTTTGTGAACTGGCAAGGGGTGTGGGGCAAAGAGGGAATATAGAAATATGGAAGGAACACAAAACACCAGTTACCGTAAAGAAAAAATCTTATTCTGCATCTCCTGATTAATTTTTAGTTCTTCTCCTGGTCCACTTTCCTTATGAGCAGGTTCAGTTGTCAAACCTGTGACCCAGCCTATAGAGAGGAATGACAGTCACTGCACCATTCAGTGTTGCTAGGATACAGTACACTTTGTATATTAAGCACTCCATTTATCCACCTATTGTTATGTGCCACCAAATTGCCTGTGACTTATAGTGACCCTATGTACAACAGCTCTGAACCTCACCCTATCCTAAGCCAGTCTCACTGTCTCCAACATAGCTACCCTCATTACTCCAGTTACTGGGTCAATCTATTTCACTGGGGTCTCTCTCCCTGCACTGATTGTCCCTCCACCCTTCTAAGCATGATATCCTGCTCCAAGAATTGGTCCCCCCTGGCCACATGCCCAATGAGAGTGACAGCATCAAAATCCTTGCCTCCAAGGAGCAGCTTGATTTTACCCTCTCCAGCATAGATCTGTTTGCTCTCTCGGTAGTCTATTGTTGTTGCCGTTAGGTGCCGTTGGGTCATCTCATAGCAACCCTATGAACAAAGTATCTGAACCTTGTTCTATCCTGCGCCATCTTCACACTTCCTGACACACAAGAGCCCATTGTAGGAATCACCCTGTCGATCCACCTGGTTATCGGTATTCTGCTCCTTCGCTGTCCCTCCACCCTTCCTAGCATCATGTCTACATGAGGACTACAGCCCTCCTAACAACATGCCCAAAGTATGTGAGGTGAAGCCAAGTATGTGAGGTGAAGCCTCATCTCTCTTGCCTCCAAAGAGCACTCCAGCTGCACCCTCTCCAAGATATATCTGCTTGTTCTTTTGGTCATCCACAGGATACTCAGTGATCTTCTCCAACACCATAGTTCAAAGGCATCAATTCTTTTTCTGTCATCCTTATTCACTGTCCAGCTCTCTGATGCATATCAAGTAACTGTCAAGACTATAGCCTGAATCACGCACACCTTAGTCGCAAGACTGACATTATTGCCCTTTAGTTCTCTGGAGAGGTGCCTGACAGCAGATTTCCCTAATGCAAACTATCTTTGGAGTTTCTTACTGCTGCTGCCAAGACTGTTTACTGTGGAACCTAGCAACCTAAAAATTTAACAATCTCAATCTCTTCATCTACCATGGTACTGCCAAACTGGTCCAGTGGTGAGAATCTTTGTTTTCTTGATGTTGAGCTTCAATCCGTATTGACCTTCTGCAGCAAACACTTCAGTGTCACAGGCATAGAGCAGGTTGTTGATGAGTCTTCCTCAAATTCAGCCTCCCAAATGATCTATTCTGTGTCTAAATTGAAAAGGGATGGAGGCAGGATGCATCCCTGACACACTCCGTTCCAGATTTTGAACCAAGCAGTATCTCTTTGCTCTGTTATGCACTTTATTCATCCTAAAGATCTATTATTTCATTTCTAAGGGAAAAAAAATCAAGTTGGAAAATATTCAAACCATTATAAAACCCTCACTTCAGCATGTTCTGATATCATGAAGCTTGTGAGTGCCAGAAACCAACTGTCATGTTTTTCTATTTTGTTAAGTTTTTTGCCTTTAACACAGTGCAATCTTCCCACTTCTATAGTACTATTAGTGAAAATATTTTTTGTTTTCATTCTCTGACAGGTTGCTTCCTTTCACATGATTTACTGTATGATTTTATGTTTTAAATTCTAGAATACAGTGACAAAGTAAACCTTCCATCTTTTAATGTACAGTTTCCATGTTCAAATACAGAATAAGCCAACAGATGTCTAGCAAATTATAAAATAAATGGCAAATCAGAACTGTCTTCCAATATTAATTTTCATGAAAATGTAAACTCTCACATAACTATTATGAGAATGCAAAATGCCCTAATTAAGTGTGATTGAATGTTTTTTATGAGAAATCCACACAGTACAAAACAGAAACGAAATTTCATTTAATTCTCATATACAGCAGACATAACACTCTTAAAATGTAATAATCTAATATTAACTATCTTCTATCCAATCTTCATTTTTCATTCAATAAAACTCTTAATGCTATAGGTAAAAGTAATTTACTAGTAACAATAAAAGGTAATTAAAAATTATAAAATATCTATTTTTTAATAGACTGATAGGTATACAGACTAACCCTTTCTCACAGCTACTTGTTACTATTTACCTTACCCGAATATGTAGATACCACGATTTCATCATAGCCATCTTTCCCTATACAACCACCCTGGATGGATGTGATACTTTCAGACAAAGCCTACAATAAAGTAAAGGTGAAGTACTTCATTAACTAAAATTTTCAGAGAACATGTTAAATTACAAAGCACATTTTCTTGATGCTATATAATATATACATCTAAATACTTATTATGTGTACACATTGAAATTAGATATAAATCTTGTCTAAAGCCAGAAAATTCTGCTAAGTCTGCTTATCAAATGAGCAAACATAATTTAGATAAAGAAAAAAAGTTCCTTAAAAAACAACATAAGCTGATTTCTAATGAATTTAACCTGTTCTCTGAATTTCAGAGATCACATCCCATGTGTTTTCTCCAAAGAGTTTTTCAGATGAATAGAGATGACAATTTCTACGGAATCTTTAGGAAATTTGCTACTATAAAAAGAAACCCAGTGTTTCAGATGATTCAGAGTTTACATCTCTTAAAGAGATTATTTCATAAACTTGCCTGACAATAATTCTTAGCTGAGTCTACTAGGACTATTTTTAAAAACACTGTAGGTTACTTTTTGGTAATTCTCACAGTATTTCAAACTTTTTCATACTGCTGTTTCACTGCTTAGGCAACCAAACAATAAAGCCCAGTGCCATCAAGTTGATTCCAACTCATAGTAATCCTGCACTGAACTGCCAAGGCTGTAAACGTTCACTGGAGGAAACTGCTCATCTTTCTCCTGCAGAGCAGCTGGTGGATTTAACCCAACATGTACACACTATACTACTGGTAGATTTGAACTCTTAACTTTGGGTTGGAAGTGCAACTCTATACCACTAGGCCACCCACGTTTCCTATAGCACAGGTAGTATTATTTATTATAAGCTAAGGTAAAATATTTAATGCTTTACAATTATATAGGGTGAGTTTTTTGGTTTTGGTGGTTTGTTGGGGTTTTTTTGTTTTCTCAATGTCCCATTTATTCTGTAGACATGGTACCAAAATACTTGGACACAGAGTTGGAGGTTGGGAAATGATTCCTGTGCAGCTGCTCTTTCACGACAGCAGGAGACAGAGACAGCATCGCTGCCCTCCCTGCACAGTATGCAGCCATTTTTTGTCTAAAGTTAACACGATGGGACTAGACTGCATCCGGCCCGTTTCTCTAAGGTATGTGTTGCTCTAATCTTTAAGAAACAGCGGGGCTTTCACCTGATCAGTCTTAACAGATTCCTCAGGTTAAAACAACAGTCTATTATTTAAACACTATAGCAGTGTATGAGGCAATAGAGAAGACTGTGATATCATAATAACAGTGTTTTAAAACAGGTACAAGATTTTAAAATATTTTCATTTAATAAAATCAAAATCAGTCACCTTAACTACTTGATTAATGAACTAATTTAAAGTTTAGTCTTTTACAAATTAATTTACCTGATCAAATCGTAGAACAGGTTCATTTGCATTATCAAAACTATATACTTCCACCATTCCATCATCTCTCCCAACAAGTAAATCTTTAACTCCATCACCCATGATGTCAAAGCTATCAACACACAAAATACCTTTTAAAAATAAAATACAAATTAAGTTATCTGGAACATTTATACTTATAATTAAGTATATAGTAATACTAAGCCAAATAAAAAGGGGAAAAAAGAATATTGTTAAACATGAATGGGAGGAGGAAAATACCTATTACAAATAATCAGATACCCTTCTCTTTTCCATCCATTTTTACTGACTTCAAAAGCCTTAAATATAATCTTTATGTTCATGGCCCCTAAATTTTCATCTCTAGCATTGATCTCTCCAGAGCTGCAGATTCACTTATTCAACTGTCTATTTAGCATCATATGCATATGGATACTATCCTATCACACACAACATTGTACTTCATGACAGAACTTGAAACTGTCTTTTTAACTATGAACGCAGTACTATTCTTCCTGCTTTTCCATTTCCAGCATAGTTTACTACGTGATTATTTGACTCAAAGTGGCAAAAGCCAATCTATTTCACTTCACTAATGCCTAGAATACTGACACTCACGTGTTCCATTTCATTTTTCACAACTTCTAGTTTTCCAACATTCATAACATGCATTCCATGTTCCAACTAATAAAGAATGAGTGCAGCCATTTGTGTTGTGCTTTTTTTCATTTTTATTGATTTCCAATCTGGGCTCTACCTCTAATACGGTAACTAAGCATGTTCCTTTATTGTTTGAAGGGTTTTCAGATGCCTGCTACTCTGCTACTTTGGAAGTGAATGGCCAATCCTGCTTCCTCATATTTCTCAATCTAGGAGTGATACTAAAACCTGTCTACCATAAGTGATTTCTCTGGCATTTGACACACAAAGCTTTCAGAATCACAGTACCCATAAATTACATAAAAAACTGACAACAAGGGCTGCAGTAATAAGAACAATGATAAACAAACAAGAATACAGATACTCAAGCTACAAAATAATTAGTAATTAGGCCACAGTCTTTTCAATCACTTTCTATGATGCTGAGAGCTGGACAATGAATAAGGATGACAGAATAATTGATGTTTTTTGAACTGTAATGCTGGAGAAGAGAACTGAATATCCCATGGACTGACAAAAGAACAAACAGATATGTTTTGGAGAAAGTGAAATCAGATTGTTCCTTGGAAGCAAGGATGGTGAAGCCTCGTCTCGCATACTTTGAGCATGTTGTTAGGAGAGGCAATTCCTTAGAGGAGGAGATCATGCTTGGAAAGGTGGAGAAATGACAAAAGTGAGGAAGACCTTCAACCAGGTAGACTAATGAAACTGCAGCAATGTACTCGACTATCAGAGATTGTGAGACTGGCACAGGACAGGACAGGTTTCAACAGGGTTCAGTCTGTTATTCACAGGGTCGCTATGGCTGAACTTGACTTTACACGACCTAACAACATACGGCACCTTCTCCTGGCTATCTATCTGGCATCTCAAACCTTCCATGACCCAAACAACTTTTCCAGCACTCTCCCACACTGCTCCTTTTTCAGTCTTATCCTGGCTCAGTAGATAATACCCTCAATGTCATATAGGATAAAATCTAAGCATCATCTTTGAGCCCTATATTTCTCATTCTTCATATTAAAGTCTTCAGCAAATCCTATTAGTTCTTATCTCAAAAACATATACTGCTCTTTCCTTTTCCAGATACCAATTGACTAGTCCAGGCTATCAGTATCTTGAGCCTAGATTAGGAAAAAACTTTAACAATTCCAAAAATAATTTCCTACCTGTATTTCCACTTTCCACCTGTCCTCTTCAAATTTTATTTTTCCTGGTATATTAGTTTTGCTTGTTCTTGTTGTTAGATGCCATTGAGTCAAGTATGACCCATAGTAACCCTATGAATTGTTCTGAACCCTTTTCCACCCTGTGCCTTCCTCACACCTCCTGACACACTATAGCTCATTGTAGTCGTCATGCCAATCCACTTGTTCGAGAGTTTTCCTCTCGTTCACCGACTCTCCACCTTTCTGAACATCATGTCCTTCTTCAAGGAATAGCCCCTTCTAGCAACATGCCCAAAGTAAGTGAAGCGAAAGAAGCCTCATCCTCTTTATCTGCAAAGGGTACTACAGCTGCACCCACTCCAAGACTTATATGTTGTTTTGGCCATCCATGGGATGTTTAGTGCTCTTCTCCACACCACGTAGAGACCATGGTCTTTCTGATCACTTGCTATGCAACTAATTAATGAGTAAGGATAACAGAAGAATTGATGCTTTTGAGTTGTGGTACTGGAGAAGAGCTTTGCTTAGTTTTTAGTAAATTTGATCATGTCAAATTCATTTACAGTCCTAAAATGACTTCGTATTGCAATTAGACTAAACGTCAAAGCTTACAAGGACTATACAATTTGTCTTGTCCTCACTCTCAGACTTCATACACGCCATTCTAATGCAGTTAACCATACTGGTCTTCCTTGGTGTTCTTATTGTCTTACACATAAGTCATTTATTGTTGCTTTAAGTCCTTTACAATTTTTTTTCCTGTTCTTGAAATATTCTTTCCTCCAAATGTTCCTTCTGCTAATTTCTATTCTTAGTATTTATACCTTAGCTCAAATTTAACCTTTTCTGTAATCAAAAGCCTTCCTTAAGCACCTAGTCTGGAAGTAGACTCCCTCTTCCACTATCACTTTCTTTTTTAATTTCATTGTTATTTTAACAAAAGTTTACAAAAAAGTTGATTTTCATTCATTCATTGTCACATTTAACTCTCTACTCCCAATTCACTTAAAAAAATTAATTCATTGTTACATAATTTCACTGTCACTCCTTAATACATTATCCAGTTACATTTTATTTAGCTGCCTAGCTAAAGCTAATTTATTTATCTTCTATCTTCCCTAATAATTACTTATTAAGAAAATTAATAATTACATGAATAAAAATTACATACATATAGCCATTTCACTATGTTAACAGGTTAGGTATGAATACCTCTATAAAGATATAAATTCAGGAATGTTCCCTTACCCACTGAAATTCTTCTGTCATACTAAATTACAATCTAACCCTAACCTGCACAAGTTAAATTGCATTTTAGCATAGCACACTGTCATACATAGACATCAGCCCATAAAAGCCTATTTATATCAAACCACATAACTGTATTAATAGTATGATAAACCTGGGAGGTAAACCACAGATAAATCTGAGAAGACTTTATGAATTGCTGAGAGTCTGCTAGATAAATATCAACAAAAATTATAAGCCATATAATCTGAAAAGATGGGAAATCTGCTCCCATGTAATTTATAGTCTCCAAAAACTTGCTGGTGGGTCAGCTATGAGTCTATTCAGGCTCAACAGCAATGAGTTTGGGTTTTATATAATGAGATATTTTACTTAATAATCACTGAAATAACATAATTTTAATTGCATAAAATACATACCCCCTCTCTTTTTCTCATTTCGAATTTCCCACTTATGTACTGGATTAGAGGTAGTGATTTGAATAAGCCCAAGTTTTCCATCTGACGTTCCAAACAAAAGGTCCTCTCCAGAGTCTCCTAAATTATAATTAAAGTCAACATATTTATTCCACAAATTCATAATATTTTTGTTTAGCTAAGAATATTTCATATGCATTGAAAATTTCCTTTTATTTTTATATGATAAAAAAGATGGGAAGTGAAATTTAGGACGATAGAAACATATTCACAGAATGCAAAGCAGCTCTCTTATCATCTAATTTTACAGTAAATTAAAATTAAAGTTCAATGATCCATTACTGTTACTTATTGGCAAAATATCTGGTTTTATATTTTCTTTCTACAATCTTCTATTTTAACTTGCTATTTTTCATAAACATAGGCTATTTAGAATCTAAAATACTTAGATAATATAAAGTCTTCTCCAGAGTTGCCAAAATTATAATTGAAGTATAAAGATTATCATTAGAGTCTAAAGATTCTAAATAGGCACTCCTTTATTTAATTGTGAAAAAGGAAACTGTCATTACCGCCATTTCCATTTTGTAGTGCTAAGACTGTAGGTGGTCCAGGAACTTCAGCTTCATACAAGAGGTCAGATCCCTAAGAACAGTATTTTGACATTAAAACAGAATACAATTTCACCGCAGTCACAATAATCACCCTTTGGAAGACTGGCTCCAAGATACCTCATTCCATCACTCTTTCCTGCCTACATGCCCAAGTTTCCTCTAAAGAATGGTCTGTTGCTATATACTGTCGAGTCAGAACCAACTCACAGTTGAATCTCCAGCAGGTTTTCAGAGACAGTAAATCACACAGGAGAAGACTGTTCATCTTTCTCATACAGAGAATCTGGTGAATTAGAACTGCTTAACTTTGAGTAAGCAATGCAGTTCCTTACCATTAAGCTACCATTTTAAAAAAAAGGAGGGGGGAGTATTTGCATGTATTTGCATATATGTTCTCTGCACATATATTTTAAATGACATCAGTATAAAACATAACAGCCTTTTATGCTTATCTTTGGGGGATTATTTTGGTCACCTAACTGCTTTCCTCTCTGCTTTCACTCCTATATTGCATCTTTATCTATTACATTGCTATTGAGTCATATCTGGCTCATAGATGGCCTTTGAGAGGTTGTTGGGAGCCTGTAAATAGCACAAGATAACGGCCTTCCTTCTCCCAAGAAGCCACTGATGGATTAGAACGTCCAGAGACTCCATCTTTGGGTCAGCAGCACCACTCCCTATGGACTATGCCACCAGTCCTCCCTACTGGATCTATAGTCAGTTCAATCTGAGAATTAGAGTATGCTGTTGTTGTTGGGTACCATAAAATCAGAACTGACTCATAGCTACCTCTCCAGTGAGTTTTCAGACTCAATAAAACACACTGGAGGAAACTGTAAACTCAGTAAATCACTAGAAGAGCAGCTAGTCCATTCAAGCCTCATACTTTTGGTTTGGCAATGCAGTTCTTTATTATTAAGCCACCAAATGCCCCTGCTGTAATGTTTAAAATTGATAGAATTTACACTGAGCAAGAGATTTGACCCAGACAGGAATCTGAAAGCATAATTATATACAAACACAGAACTCTTAATGACTTTTAAAACACAACAACTGAAAAATTCAAGCTCCAAAAACACAGAGGTGTAAAAATTGACTCAACAACAGTAAGTTTTGTTATGAGTTGCTAAAGTCAATTTAAATGCACAATGAATTCAGAACCAAAGTTCCCTATTGGGTTTTCTTAGCTGTAGTCCTTACTGGAGTAACCTTCATAGCTACTGAGTGCTTAACCATTACACCACTCTTCCTGTCATCTGCACTACAAACTGAAATTCCCAAGAGGGCAATACCCAGTGGTGACATGGAACTCATAACTAATTTAATTTCTTTGTACTTGGGTCAGATGTATTGTAGTTGGACAGTTTTTGTTCACAGTAGGGATTACCTAAATTCTTGATTAAATTAATCCACGTGTTACATTTTACATTTAAATGTTATTTTAATAGTTCCATAGTAGGTGTGTGTCTATGCATTTTATTAAAACTCATTTTCTAAAAGAGGTGGTAGTAATAGATGATATACCAATTGACATATTTCAG